TCCAGTGGAATAACTTAGAAATTTGCATGCACCTTGACATTCTATAGCTCCATGCCTCTGCACGTATAAATGTCTACCTACACTGCCCTTTCCCCACCTAGCTCACTTTTAATTCCCTTTAAGGCCCAATTCATATACCTTCACTTTCAGGAGGCTTCCCTGATTTCCCACCCTAAGATTACTGACCTTCCTTTGTACTTCCTGTGCATAGCGCATACTGAACTGAACTGTAATTATTAGCTTACATGTTACTGTCTGCCATCACTTGCAAGCCACAGAACTGGAAAACACATTTAAAAATATCTCCAATAAAGGACTTGTCTTTAGAATGTATAAAGAACTCAATCATAAGACCAACAGCCCAATTTTTGTTTAAATGGGCAAATGATCTAAGCAAACATTTCACCAAAGAAGACATGCAGATGGAAAATAAGCACATGAAAAGATAATCAACACCATTAATCTTTAGGAAAATGCAAATAAAACCATGAGATATCACTACATACTTATCAGAACACTAAAATTAAAAAGACTGACCATATCAAGTGCTGACAAGGAAGTGGAGCACCTCAACTCTCACATACTACTGGCAGGTACATAAAATGATAGAAAACAGTGACTCTAGAAAACAGTTTGGAAGTTACTTAAAAAGCTAAAATACACCTACCATATGACCCAGCCATTTCACTCATAGGTATTCACCCAAGAGAAAAGAATGCATATGTACCCACAAAAATTTTTTTCATAGATGCTCATAGTGGCTTTAATAGCCAAAAATTGAAAACGACTCAAATGTCTGCCAACAGATGAAATGATAAATAAATTGTGGAATTTCCATACAATGGGACAGTATTCAGCAATAAAGGAAGGAATTATTGATACACACATGGATGAATATCTAACTATGCCCAGTGTAAGAAGAGCCCATGATGTGTTATGTTATTTACTTAAAGTTCTAGAAAATGCAACTTAAGCTCTAGTGATAGAAAACAGATTAGTGGTTGCCTGGGGATGAGTGGCAGGACAGAGAGAGGGCCTGGAGGGAGGGATAAGGTGAAGGAGGAAATTTTGGGGGGTAATGGTTATATTCATTAACCTGATTGTGGTGAGAATTTGGATACATATGTCAAAACTCATCAAGTTATGCAATTTAAATATATGCACATCTTTGTCAATTATACCTCAATAGAGCAACATGAAAAAAATCATGGGTACTGCTTAATAGGCATCTACCTTTGTGAGAAGAATGTAATAATTATTCATCTTCAATCAAGATAGGTATTATTCAGCTCATTTTACATAGGGGTGGAAGCTGAGTCAGAAAAGCCAGATAGTCATATAGCTATGGTCAAGCCAGATTCAATCGAGGTCAGATGTCTTCAAGGCATGGGGCACTTTTCCTCTGCATTGTTATGCTTTCTCACAATGGCAGATTTCCAGCACAAAGCCATAGGTGATAGCCCCCTTGCCTAAGCAAGACCTCCAAGAAGGATCTAGAAAGAAAAAGGGTAAAGAACTGGCATCATTGAAATGACACCCTCTTCCCTTCTGAGTTGCCATTAGCACAAATTCCTCCAACAGCCAAACCCAGACCATCACAGGTACTGGGCCAGACAGGCTAAGGCAGGAAGTAGACCCAGAACTTTCTTCCCTTTGCAGCCAGAGTGGTTTGGTGTGAAGGGCCCCGAGCAGACATTCAGAAGAGACTCCATTCCTCTTGTGTTGTGAGCAAGGCCTTTCTCCTCTCTGGGTCTCCGCTTCCCTACATGTAAACTGTGAAAGCCAATCAACAAGCTTTCCAAGGAACTCTTCCAGCCCTGATTTACATTCTGAGTGCCCTGCTGAAATGAGCTTTTTCTCCTCCTGAAGTTGATCAGGTGCCATAGATGAGAAGGATTCTTGATTATCTACAAAACTGTATACTCAGCTCCCCCATCCACCCATCTCCACAGGCAGACAGCCACCCCGCTTAGCAGTGCCCAAACAAATGGCTCCCTTGGCCGCTCTGCCTCTTCCCTGGGTCTCTACCCACCTGCAAGGACCCTCCCAGGACACTGACCCACCCTTACCACTTCATTTCCCCCGTCAGCAAGATGAGCTCTTAAAACTTTGTTTTCAGGGGTCTGGGAATCCTGGGATACACACAGCCATTGAAGACATAATCTCTCCCTTTAGACTTCTTGCTGGAAAGGCTAGAGATGAGTGGTTACAGGATAATGTATGTTGTATACAGTCTTGATGTAGGGGAGCCCTTCCCCTTGTCCCATCTGTATGCTCAAGGCTGGGCCAGAATCTTTTGCCCCAAACAGGACAAGACATTTGGCCAGGCACACATGCTTTCAGTAAATATCTCTGGAACTGAATCAAATGCCCCTTGCCAGAGAAATAATCTCTTACCCAAACATGCAGAAAAACCGAACAAATTCAACCCACTATGCTACCCTGCAAAGAACTGGGAGTCCAGAGGCTGAGATGGGCCCTGCTTCTAAATGGCTCTCAGAGGCCTGGGGCCACCAGCACTCTGCCTCACCTCCTGTGAGTCATAAGTGAGGGGGTTATGCTAAAGGACTCTAGGAAGCTCCCAGCTCTGACTCTGTCTTACTTTATAAGGAAGAGACCTTGAGATTCTAAAGGAATACTGTGGTCTTTTGTTAAGCTCCAAGCACTTAAAGCTGCAGCTGTTCACATAGCTTCAGAGATGGAATGATGTTCCCGGAGGGAAGGGGCCCTGCTTGTTAGAACAGGATTTGGGAACTCCCGCCCACACGGGGAGTACTTGCTATAAAGAGGACTCACTGACTTTGGGAAACCAGAGGTCAGACAGGCTTACTTTACATCTCTGTTGCTTATGAGCTGTGAAATCTTGGGCAGTCTCTTTACCTCTTGGGAGACTCAATTTCCACATCTGCCACAGGGGGATAGAAATACCTACTTTATTAGGATGCTGCAGTTAGATGAAATCATACAGACAGAGCACGAAGCACAGTGCCTGGAGCTCAGTCAATGCCCTGCCCTGTCTTCCTCCTACATCTACTTAAAGGTCCTCAGGGTAAAAGCTCAGCTGGTTTCAAAGGCCTGGAAAACCAAGCCCCTGAAGAGATTGGGGACTTCCTTCCAACTATACCAGAAGGGCACCTCAAGAAGGGCACTGGGGCTGTGGCTGCAGATATGGAGGAGAGGCGGAGAAGGACGGAGGCAGGGCTGGCATCTGCAGACCATCCACCTGCTCCCCTGGCCAGTCGCATGCAAGGACTCAGCAATCAGATGGCCACATGAACAGCGCCCCTCCCCACAGCCTGGTTCCCTGTCTCTCCCAGGAGCACATACCTTCACCTCACATACTAATAATCACAAACTGTGTGGCCAGGTTTCTTAAAACAAGGGTGTGGGAGCAGATGGCCTCAGCAGGCCTTTCCACCATTATAATCCTCAATTCTGCAATGTAAAATGGGGCTTATCTGACGCCCCACCTTCTTCCATCACCTCCTTCAGGAGATATAAAGGAGGTGGTGAGGAGCCAAACGGTTCAGTGGAGGGAGAAGGGCAGAGGTGGAGGCTCCGTTAAGCTAATTTAATTAGCTCTAATCTGCTGACAGCAGGGCCTTGAAGAAAGAGGCTTTTGTTTAAATTTCACTTTTGGCAGGAAGTCCCCCTATTCCTCCTCCCTTTTCTAACCCCCCACTAGAGCTTATGAGTCAAAAGCTCTGATTTCAGTCCTGGCTATTACAGCTAGCAGCCCCGGCTTCCTCTTCACACTTGTCTCACCGACTAGATTTTTCCAGGAAGGAAATCTGCCCCAGATGTGGTTGGTAAATGGAGGGCTTTCATCTGCCCATATCAAAGTGGTTTGGTAATTCACATATTCCCCAAGAAGCAAGAGACAAAGGGGGAAATCTCTTCATCAATTAGCCAGTTTTACCCATCAACTAAACCCCTTCCCTCCATGGAGGGAGTCTCACAGTACTCAAAACAGTTCGTTTTCACGACTGTCTTATGGAATAAACAGAACAGAAATCTCACGCTTAATTCAAATAATACTCACGGAGTGCCAACCGTTCACAGGAGAGGAAGCAGAAGGATGTACAGGTGCAATGTCTTGTCTCCCAGCCTGCTATGCTGGTGGTAGAGCAGGCCCTGGAGCCTGCTGTGTTCAGGTAATCTCAGTCTCCAAAATAAAAAAGCCCTGGTTTGTAGCACTGGCTAATTTCCACCGTGTAAATTTTCCAACAAGGCCAATTATTTCGAGCCAACAATTTTTAACAACTAGTTTACAAAATTCCTAAATACTTAAAAATCAGCTCTCAGAGAGCCTCCAGACTAGGAGCAAGTTCCCCTGGCTCCTCCTGGGGTGTGCTCCCTGCCCCGCCTCTTCACCTCCAGTCAGCATGCTGTGGAGGCTTAAAGAGGGACCTTAGTGACAATTCCCTGAAGGAATGTTAACAGGAGTAGATTTTCAGGCACATTTTATTTTCTTCTATGTCAATATTTTTCCAAATGTCCTATAAGTCCATAACACCTTTATAACCAGAACATTATTCATGTAATAAAAGTCATTTTTTAGTGAGCTTAGTGGAATGTTTGATAATAACCTTCCCACATAATTTCTGTCTCTCTGTATCCTGTGGGTTGGGCAGAGCGAGAGACAGAGAGAGAGAGTGCGGTTCTCCTAACAGCTCAACTCCCCTTGCAGTTCACAGCAGGTGCACTTGAATCTAAAGCAGTCTCACCTGGAGGGCAGATCCATTCCCTTTGGAGTTCAAATTTCACCAGCAATTGGGACAACACAACTCCCAGTTAAGACTCCAAAGGACCTGCTCTGAAAATCAAAGCCTCTTGGGCTAGCAAATAACTGTGCCTCCCCATGGGCTGACGCGCATGCAGATGGTTTGAACCAAAACAACTGCTTCTTCTTTCCTGAGCCTTAATGGAGGCTTCAACCACCCCACAACAGGAGGCATGCTGCCCTTCCTGTCCCCAGGCGGGGATCCAAGGGTTCTTACCTCAGCGCTGGGGCAGAGACCAGCTCTAGGGCGCAGGCAGGCTCAGGAGGCCGATTCCTTTCTGCTGGGATCCATGACTTCACTGCTGCTCTGCTGCAGTGCGCTGCACAGTTGGCTCTACCCTGCCTGCAGGGGGAAAGAACAAACCAGAGAAACTAAAGTTGTGGGCTGAGAACCAGAAGCACACATGTCAACACACGCAGGAGGGAAAGTACCCTTGCTCCTCCCACTCCCAGCCCAGGTTGCTTCAGAGACCCTTCCCGAAGTCCAGCCTCACATGAAGGAGCCAGCCTCCTTCCCAGGGCTCAAACTGACCATGTGTTCACACATACCTACCCTTTGGGGGCTGAGCGATTTCAGAGTGAGCTGTCAATTAAGCAAAGCAAACTCTATTACAGTCACTTAATCCTTGTGCTACTTGCTATTATTGGTAAGACAAGCAAAAGTAAGAAACTTTAGACCCCACGTCATGTGTAGAGGTAAGACTTGTGAGACAACCAATTTCAATCAACAAATAAATCAGACTTGCTCACAGTCTCTCCCTTTGACCTATAGTATATTGTTTATAATATTATAAATATGAATTTCACTTCTATTTTATTTAGGGAGCAAAACTGAACCTAAACTTTCAGCCCACATATTATTAGAGCTGTCTGGGTGGACAGCATTTGTTTTTAAAGTAATTGTTTTTTTTTTCTAGTTCAATCTAGAAATTTTGGAAATTATAATTAAGTCAAAAGAAGGGAAATTTACGCATTCTTCTCCACCCAAAATAATCATAGCTAACACACCCTTCCTGGTTTTGTCGTATTTTCCGGGTTTTTTACAAAGACGCATTAAAGCCAGGCATGGTTTAGTACTGTGTAATCAGTAGACTTCTGCAGAATCACTTTAGTGACTATACAATATGGCCTTATGTAACTGTACAATAAATTGTGCCCTGCCCTCAAAGGCTGCACATTTAAGCCATCTCCAACTGTTTTGCTACTTACAAATAGTGCTGAAAATTAAATTTTGGGGGGGGAAATCCATGGTTATTTCCTTAAGACACAGTCTTAGAAGTCAGAGTTTCCAAATGTCTCAGGCTTTTCAAGTCTTGCACACTCCCAACAGCCAGGACTATTGTACCATATAAACTCCTCGCATCAATGGAGACATGTGCTGGTTCCCCTGATGCTCCTCTCCACCCCCTCACTCCTCCCCACCTACCTCCTCCCTCACTCACACCCTCACTCACCATGGATATCATTTCTAGTGGAAATCAAGTGGGAAAGTCCAGGAGTCTGGGTATTCATTTTTCATGCTCACACCCAAGTCAAACATAAAGATCTATGATGCTAAAAATGTGTTCCCCTAATCAAGTGGGGGAGGGGGCAGAGTGGGATGAGTAAGAATTCATAAGGAGGTAAAAAGGGAAATCCACTAAGCAACAGAATGGGAGTGGGAATCTGTGAGGACAGTGTCCAGGAGAAAAAGATGCCGAGATGCTAAGCAGAAACAGGAATCATCCCATGAAAGGCAGACGCTGACAGGAACCTACATCAGACGAATCTGAAGCTGAAGTGAGCCATCCAAGGAGGTGGAAACATGGAGGTCTCACAAGGATTCAGGGTGGAGTAGAGTGAACACTAAAGGCATCAGACAAGATGGAGAAATAAAAAGTCTCTGACTTGTGACACTTGGGCACTTTGCCAGAGTCCCGGAGGAGAAGTGGGCCAGACCAGGCAGAGCTCTTTACCTGCAGCAGCAGCCGAGCTGGTGGCCTCTGCAGGCCCGTGGCAGGAAGCTTTCCCCATCCACAGGAGCAGAGTGCTCCCAGAATGTGGGCTCCCTGGCTGCTAACTCACCTCCCTCCTTAACAGGAGAGGGGCTTCCAATCGCCATCTCTCTCTAGCCAGCCTCTCGCATCTCTCCAGGCCAAACCTTCAGTGAGGGGTGGATGGATGGTTCCCCAAGTAATCTGCCTAAACAGACTTAATGGATTTCTGGGGCCCTGTGACCCAGCAAAGACTCTAGGGCCCTAAGTCTCACACCCCTTCCTAACTGGCCAGCCCCCTTGCCACTCCACCCCATGCACCCTGCACTCCAAACACAACGATCTGCCGACTAATGAGGGAATGCAGGGTTCCATTACTGATTTCTAAATCCTTTGGAAGATGGCTTGCAGACCTCCGATATTACCCCAGTCAGTCAGTCTTTCTACCTGCCTACCCTGCTACCCCACCCGCTCACACTTACAAAGGATAGAATTTTAATTTAAAAGCAACTAACTCACTCATAAATAAGGAAGCTGGACCAATCAGACACTTCCAAAGTTGTAACTGTGAAAAAGACTACAGGCAGCTAGCTAGCGGTGCACCCTAGAGCTTTGAGGAAAGGTAGTGGGGGCGCTGTGAGCCGCAAATGCCATGCTCCAGGTCAAATGATGGGATAGTGGGGCTGCGCAGGAGAGGAAGCTGTCCTCTAAAGAGAACAGGGCAGAGGCCCAGGAAGAGGCAGATAGGAAACTGCAGCCCCAGAGAGAGAGCAGATAGTTGGTGTCTTCCTAATGGCTATGAGGCTCACCTGGCTTCTACTTGATTCCTGCAAGCACACCCTGGACCCTGCAATAGACCCCTGCAAAGCTCAGTTCAGACCACTCCGGGGTCCCCACTGGCTCAAGCTCCCTGAGACCTTTCAGAGCTGTGAGTGAGAGCAAAGGTGCTCTCCCATAATCCAGTGCATGGCTTTGAGGTCAGGTTTTTATCACTGTGCCTACTCAAAGGCCTGTTTCTTTTTTTTTTTAACTTCTTTCCAAAGCATGTGGTTGGACATTTCACAGATGAGGCAACTGGATGGGACAGTCCCAGATGGCAAGTTTAACTTGCACTTTGCAGAAATGTAAGAAATAAATAGTAAAAGAGCTGTAGAGTCTATAGGTATTTCTATTATAAGATTTTTTTATGAAGTGATTCAAACAATATAACCTTTACTATTACCTAATTCCTCCTATCACCTAGCAGTGTTGCACTTTCAGCTGATCACAGAGTCCCCTGGCAACCCCCTTGACCCTGAGCCACCTATGTACTCATGTGCTTCCATGCAGTTTTAATACAGCACCCATTTAATTCATGACCCAGCTGTAATCTGCATGTCTTCTGCTCCCTGATCTCCCTCCAAACCCACAAGGGCCACTAACTTCATATTTGGATTTGGTTTCACTACTTTTCTCCCAAGGGCTAACCAGTCAAAGTTTTACTCAACTCCTTCCTTGCGCTCAGGACCTGCTCTCTGCTTGCTCTCTTCCCGCCCTCACCCTGCCTGCGCTGGCCCCTTGCCTGGCAGCCCTGGCAGCTCCTCAGCCAATCCCCTTTCTCCTTCACCCTGTCAGACCCAGGAGCATCAGAAGATAAGATAAGCCCAGGGAAGACAGCCGGTAAACGAGAGCCTGCCTTGGCCTCATGAAGTCCCTCACACCTCCAGCCAGTGTTTCCTTTGGGTGTAGAATGTGTGAGGCAGTGACCACAGAACCGAGCCAGGATTTAGAGAGCCCACCAGAACTGAAGAAATTCATAAAGTGAACCAAGAGTACACCTAAGAATGTCGTGGCTCAGCATCCCGATGAAAGCATCCTCTGAGCAAGATCTTTATTACAGGGCTCGGTTTTGAGTCCGAGCAAGGCTAGCCTGCCAGAGAGCGGGCGAGGGCGAGGGCTCTGAGCCTCCGGTCTAAACGAGCAATCACCAAAAGGCACACAGGAGCCTTGGGGTAAAAAATAACACAGTTTACCCTGGATCCATTAATCCACATTACCTGGGATATGAGCAATTGTTCCAACTGTTTTAATATGAAAGCTATATCAGCTAAGGGCTAATATAGATCCTTGCATAGGCAACAGAGAACACTCCAGAACCTGGGTCTCTACAAATTTGCTGAACTCTGCAGTCATATCAGAAGACACAGCACCCAAATACAACAGGAACTTCTGCTAAAATAAGAGACTTCCTGGATTATTTCTGGCCCCGCCCCTTCCCAGAGCTCTCACTAGTTCTGGATGGTTCATCTCTGGGACCCAGACCGAACATTATGGGGCCCCTGGTCTAGACCAAGCGTTAACCAGAGTGTTCAAGTATTATGTGCCAGGCACTTCATGTACTAAATTATTCATTTACTCCTCACACAATCCTATGATTGTTTTCTCCATTTTCAGATGAGGAATCAGAGCTTAAGTCACTAGTCCAGGCACAAAGCTGGGAAGAGAGCAACCCAGAATTCCACACACCAGCCTGCCTCACAAAGCCCTTCGTCTCTCCAGTGTTAGTATAGAGGTAGGCCAAGCTCTCTCAAAAAAAGAGCTGAAATTAAAGATGAGTTGAACACTGAATACACAGGTTCTGACAAAAAGAGAAATGGTATAAGGGCTTATTTTCAGAGAACCAGAAAAGGGCAGCTCTTCTGGCCAATGTCATTAGCAAAATATTCAGAGGGTGCCCTGCTCATTTCTTGGACTCTATGGTTCACCAGTTCTCTATGGTAAACACTCAGTTTTGAGGTGCCAATCTGTATATAAGGGGGAAACAAAGGCCCTTTCTTGGTCAAACCAATAAACGCATGATTTCAGGCCCTGCCCCACCCTTCTTACCCCTAATTTCTCTTGCCCAAAGACAACAACTTTCAACTCTTTTGTCTAATTCCAGTCGTGTCAGTGTATCTAAATAGCGTGCTTACCTGGCTCTTTTTTTTTCTCAGTGTTAGATAGTATTCATTGACTTCCTGCCACAGGAAATGAGGATTTGTCTTTAACCACCATCCCAGATGCTCCTTCAACTACCCACATTCTCCTGATATAGTTATACCATTCTTCATTAAGTCAACACTAGAAGTTACATTGTGACCAGATAAATGATTGGTCACGGATGAGTTATGTGGTGTGTTAACTCCTTCCATGTACATTTATTAGTTGTCCTTTCTGGAGTCCATTATTGCCTGTTCTGTTTATTTGCTTAATTTTCTAGGTACTTATAGCTAATTCAGCCCTCAACTTTCCAACAGTTCTAGTTTTTGTTTTGTTTTTTAATTTCCTGAAGCCCTCCCTTCTGGAACCTTCCATTCCTCCTACTCCAACCTGAGCTGGTTGCTCTCTGGGC